TCCCACCTATTCGGTATTCGTAAATCTAGAAATAAAGCTTATCATGGAATGTTAGGACGTACGAAAGGAACTCATAAGATAGTGTGGCAAACATTTTTCGACGTAAGACAAGAGTCACTCTGAGGCACTTAGATACATGACGCTTATTATCATACACGGGGAGGACACATGTGTCAACTGGAAAACATCCCATCCGTTGTGGACAAGCTTTGAGTTGCGTTTACCTGGTGACATTTTAATAGTGTCACGACTGAATAACCTACCGACGATTTCGGAAGAAGTGGTGAAGTCACGAGAATACATACTGAGGTACCTCAGTTATATCCGAGGAAAACTGGAGGGAGCACAGCACACAAAAGAGCATAATGATAAGAGCTGGGAAGCTTCATAAGATAGGGTGTCGGAGCGTGGCCCGAGCAGTTGCGAAGTGGTGACAGACTTCGGAATGAGTCCCGAGTAAAATGTACTGTCGGATTGAAACATTCACCCTGAAAGATGGTTCTGAGCTTTACGCTCAAAATAAATGTTAAGGTAACGGTCTATGACGACCTCGCTGACGATTGTTGCGTGGCCAACTTTGCTGCTGGAACTGGGCGCTAGCCGCAGTGCCTTCTGAGTGTTTAACCATGGAGTACCCAACCTGGTCGGTGGGTGAAGGGTGAAAATGATTTTTGTGGCTGTTCAAGGACATTTCCTAACGATGCTGTGAGGAGAAAATATGGACGGGTAATCACACCGAGCTCTTGTCTTCTGGACTTCTGATTCATCAAACAATACGTTCCAACCAATGCAGATAAAAATTAATCACTGAAGGCGAGATGGCTGTGGCTCAGTTGGACTGATGGATTTCTTAAAAAAATTCTTGTGAAATACAAGAAGATGGAAGGAATAACACAGTGAGTTTGGTGGCAAATTTAAGTCTGTTGGAGCTGTCGAGACAAGGTCGAAAGGCAACGAATGTTAATCTTCCTTCTGTTGGTGATATGTCCAAAATCTATGTCATATTACTGTTACAATACCCGTAATTCACAAATCCGCCAGACTATGCCTGTGAACTGCGATCAGTAGAAATAAGTATAAAACTTTCTATAAAGAAAACTGCAGGTCAGAATTAAGCTTAGTTTTGAATCGTTACACTGGGTAACTCAGATTTCTGGTCACTTATGGGCAGACTTTTGGAAGTATTCAGCAAAAACTCCGCGACATACAAGCAGTAGTTTTGAATATCCCGTCGCTGTCGCTCGAGAAACCAAAGTGATTTCCTACAATAATGAGATATTGACGATAAAAGAGTGACTTTCTCAGCAGCTTTTTTCTGTTCCAAGGGTGATAACACCACGGTGAAAAGCATTTGGTGCTCCACGACTTGGCATGCTATCGCCACTCAGATGTAGGGATTCAGGAGGATGGTACGATCAGCGAAGTAGAAGACATATCTATGTGATTTCTAAGGCTTTCTTTATCCACTTAATGAAGAGTGCCCTTCGGTGTATGTGACTAGTTGTTCCCTGCTCTACTTGCCCTCCGCCATGCTTTCGAAAATGAAGGTCCATAAACACCATTAGTCTTCTACAATGTGCGTCGGTGGCACAGTGGTTAGGACTCTCACCGACCATGCACATGGTCCGGGGTTTGATCCCCTGTCGACGCACACCTGATATCTATGTTCGGCCTGCAAAATTTGGGCTACCGATATTTCATGCTGAAAATTCCATACTTGTACCAAAAATACGGTGTGGAATAAAGCTGTAATCAAAAAATAAATGTTACGAGCTGTCGGTCGCCAATTTGAATAATTATTCTGACAGAAAAGTAGGTTTATAAAGATTCTCTGTCGAAGCCACGAGTTGTTGACCCGAGGCACATTCTTTGGTGGAGGTATTTTTGAATATATAACATATATATTTACTAACTTAAGAATTGAATAGGCGATATTTCCTTTTCCACGAAGGCCGTTTCTACCCACTATATTTAGTGAGAACCTTGAATGGACCGTAAAGAGAGCTTCAGTAGGTTTTATCAACTAGTCGCGAAATTTTTCGCCCGGTATAACTGAGCTGGATACAGTGTGTAGATTCTGACTGTCAACAACTAAAGTCAGTTGGTATCAGGTATCTTTAACTAGGCCACTAAGGGAACACTATGTGAAATTAAGAAGTGGGGATAAGGAAATGTAGTGTCGAAGGAATGAGCATTTGACAAAATAAGAATAAATATGTCCAACTAATGTCAGTCTATAAAACTATAGCATTAAAATGCCGTGAGTCTGACGCGGGATAAATGATTTGGGCGAACAGATGTCTGCAGTGTTACGTAAATTGGATATAAAACCTTTAAGGGTATCCATAAATTTCTGAGTGAGTTAAATGTCCAAACAGAATATAACGCACATGAATAAGTGTCAGTTCGCCAGTAAGATGGGACTAGAAATGTGAAGGTTGAGGTATTTTCTATATTTGGCAATGACCAGCCCCAGAATAAAGATTTATGTTATCTGATGTTAAGTCAACAGGAGACATCGCAATTGTGGGTGAGTGAATAAAAATCTTTGAAGGATTGACCTGCTGATATTTTATTGTAGCGGACAATCAAAGGGAGGAGGATGGTTATACTGTGATTGTGTGATACAGACAGTGGGTTTCAAAGGAATATTATTCCCACATTAAAATTCATTGTATTTGTTGGTGTCAACGTTTGGTTACTATTCCCACGGTTCATTCGTGCATTGTTGACAGAATAATATATGTATTTGAACATTCCATTTCATCTCGTTTAGTGCAAGCCAAAATCACACGCTTAGCAATTGGTTGAAGAATATAAACTATGTATATAGCTGTTTCATTACTCGAAAATACACCTTGGCTTCCGTGTCTTGCTTTCTGCCGTTACAATTTCCAGTGTAACTTTACTTCATAAGACATTTCATGGACCTTACAATCACTAAGTAGATTACTGATTATGAAGTAGAAAGAGAAGAAAAGAATAGATCAATAGGGATCCTCGCTTACACCCATGTAGGGATTCTATTTAGTACTGAACTGTATTTGACCGGGCTACTCTTCTCTACTGCCCATCACCGTGATTATTAAATGGGCGTTAATCACCAGCTGCTTCCTTCAGAAGGGCTGTTAATCTGTTACTTTGGGATTACTTTGATGACAGTTGGCCATTAAAAGTTTACCATGAGGATCACTGACTAGACTACCTCAATGCAATGATACAATCTGGAGGATATGTATATGGTTTTGTAGGTATAGGAAGCGTTTTATGAAGTGTGGTTTTTACTTCTGACCATAGCTTAAGTTATATCATCATAAGGTTTGCTGCTTGCTTGTGCACGGTCAGTTTTCATAAACATGCCTACTGCTCCAAAAAGTTGATGACTGTGTCATCAGCACTACGGCAGTAAATAAGATTAGTTAGCTGTTTTCTTTGTGTAATGGTTTGTAAGTGGCATCACGAACCTGATGCCTCACATAACTCCAGAAATGTTTTCTATACGTTGCTTATGCATATCGATTGCTATGGCATTGTGCGTGTATTGGACAGGCTTTGTTGCTTCAGTGGCTATGTGGTCAGCAACTGTCTCTTGAAATTCTAATAAATCATAATTAGGACTTACGAGGACGCTAAATACATATCTAAGAGTTGCTAGGTTTTGTGGGCCATCTTAATAATATATGTTCTAGTGTTGGTTCGTATGTTCTGATGAAGATTGGTATTTGTATTTGTTTGTTGTACAGGTTAGTAGGTAGTCCCGCAGCTGTATTCCCTACATAGTTTGCCTGCACGAAATAAGGAATGGGCTGTGGGAATTTTTTGAGGAAATCACTTTGCCTTTATGAGGAGTTTTAGACCCATACTTAGCTACAGAGCAAAAACTTTGTGAAGTACTACTGAATGCCTTCTTCGGTTTGCTATTTGTTGAAAGAGAAATTGGCCTGTGCACTGAGTGTTTTTGGGTGGCAAGCGCATAACTGCGGTTATATTACGCACCCACGTGTTATCATTCTGTAGTAAACAAATTAAAGAATGGTACCGTTTGAAGCGTTAGTAGTAGCCGTAAAGATTGGTGGAAAACGTTTTACGTAAAGAACAATGACTCGAGAGTTTGTACCTTGAAATGCTGTAAAACACATGAAATTGTGTCCCTTCACGCTGGTCAGTGACACAGACTCATATATGTCTAAGCCATGTTCATGAATACTGTAATTCGTGCTGTCAGCTTTACAACCCACTTTATACCATTCGGGAGCCAGAACACCGCCAAAAAGGTCTAACAACACGGATTTTCTTGGTATCGAGTGGGATTATTACTTGTGGGACAAATTTATACCCATTCTGACTATTCTTTTTCATTCTAATCGTTCTGAATGGAGCTTGCAGTTCCCAGCCTTGAATTTGCAGTAATAGTGCCATAACGACGAGGCAGTCTTGTTGGCCCCACACCCCACCTTCCATCTTCCCCAGGCTTATAACACGCTATGAATCAAGGCGAGTATTTATCATTCCCCAATCAATCTCGAAATAATTCCTAAAAAGTCAATGCTTGAAAATTTATCTTATTCCCACAAGTGAGTGACCAGTGGAGCTCATGAAGTTGGGTGTCAAGAAAAATCCCTCCAGTGACACTGGTTGGCTGTAGCATTATATCGCAAATTGGCAGATGTTTCAGTTGATCGGCCATTGATATCGGTCAGTAGCTGAATGGTCTACAAGATCGCCTCGTAATCCAATGGATAGGGGGTTGAGACCATAAGTTCGCAATGATGAAGGGTCCCAAACAAGAACGAAACAACTATCCAGGATCCCCTACTTTTATATGGTTCTCTAACTGACGTCAGTTCGTGCTCGATTCGGCAAACTATTATTAGTCTTTGTCAGACTTCAGCAGAAAGTCTTCATTTTCTGTGCTATTTCAAAGTGCACCACTAAGTTGGCTATAATGTGGTCAGTTAGTTTGGATAGGCAATGTCATACGCTGCATATCATATTGAGCAATGAACCGTAGGAACGTATTTGACTCTGACGGTACAATGGATGAAAGTGCAGATAGCATTAGTTTTCTGGGGAAGGCACAAGTGACGTCTTGTTTGGGGTAATCTAACTTCTTAAACTTTTCCGTGCAACTGAAGACGCTTTGGTTTATTTATTTCAAGTCTTTTAATGAGCTATGCTACACCCAACCACTGTGGGTAAATGAGGTTATCAGGCAATAAATTCCAATTTCTCACTGCTCCTAATGACAAAGAATGTCACCACACATCCTTAAGGCCAGAAATTTAATTTCGTGTGAGAAGTTTATCGATGAGTGGAGCTGTTATTGTTAAAAGCTAAACAAGATTGTTATTATCAATTTCTTATGGAAGTGTGGTGTGTGAAAGTTCTCGAATACACCTTATATTAGTCACCTACATGTAGTGTAATAAACGTATTCGGGATGACGGTGCTTAAGCAACTTGATACTGATGATGTTGGTTATATTTATTTAATGCTCTTATATTATAGATTCTGTTCTTCGAATTTCACGTACATTATTTTAAATAAATTTTAAAAGTCCTGACATTATATACATGCAAACGCATCTATATAGGATGCACTATATGCTCATATCATACTAATGATGTATAAATTCACTCATGTGCATATGTGTCTACAAAGTGGCCTTTGCAGTTTACGACAAAGGTTGGCTTTGCCATAAGGAAACCAAAGTCTAAACCTGCATTACATTGGAGGTTTCAGTGGTTATCATATAGACACAAGAGAATTCCGAAAAATGGGCAGTTCCCTATATTGTTTCCCTTGTGAGGGGAAAAATGTGTATTCTGTGGCCATTCAAGTCTTTGCTTAGTTTACGGAATGTGACTGGATTTTTGATCTGTTGTCGAGTCACACGTTCTTCTTGAACCAAAAACGACGAAACAATTTATGAAGCGATAAATTGCTTCAAAAGTTTGTAATAAAACTAGTTAGGATTTCATGGAGCTTTATTTTAACCAAAATGCCGCCTATTAATAATTTTATCGTACTTGCTTTTGTCTAATTTCTGCACTGGACTTAGATAGTATTAGGAGTTTTGTTCTGATTAGTGATATTAGATCTCCTTCATTTTACCAAGTTTGTAGCCTTTTAATAATAATTTAATTTAATTTACTACGGCTATCTCCTACGGGAGGATGAGCCGGCTTCATGAACATCTCGAATCATCGCTGCCCAGGCGCGGCGATCTCATGTAAGGTTTTGCGACAGGGTTATCCAATTCTTGTTCCACAGACGGATTCCGTAGACGGTTTGTAGCCCCAGGCACTCCATATCAGCCTTGACTGTACTGAGAGTTCATGAAGTTTCATGGGAATTTGGTACGAGTGATTTCCCCAGAATCGCCTTTTAGGCCTAAATAGTTCTTATTCAGAACCAGAACTGATGACCTTGACTACCAGCACTCACTGTATTTTGTCAGTGTTTGATGTTATGATGTGTTCATTCCTACGTACCTTCACCAAAAGGAATCAAATCCCTACAAACCGAAAATATAAATATAAAATATAAATCTGTTTGTAGATTTATTAGTTTTATACTAAATAAGCACTTCTTATTCAAGTAAAGGTCTGATGTTGGAAACTACTACTGAGATTATTACGAATCGGAGATCTGACCAGTTCTAATTCTCATTCGTTTTGCTTCCCGTAGTGGAGCTTGTTGATATTAAACGTCACCTATTGATCGTATCGCCTTTGTAGGTAAAGTCAAATATTTATCCATTTTCAGCTTCATGCAAATATGAAAAACAAAGAGTTGGTCGTATTGATCAAAAATTGTGCTCCCGGGCAAATCTGCAGAAAGTTAGATGATTCGTGCGCATATCAGCATTCTTTGGAAAATGTCAGTTTGACAGGGCGCAATCTAAGTTGCGATTTCCGAATATGTTAAAGTTTTGCTATGTCGGAGAAATTTCTGAAAGTCCAAAACATTTAAAGTCTTTTATCGTTGAGGAAGACTTTATTTCATACATGTGTTTAAGCAAGTAGAATAGACTTTCATCTTTCAACTGTTATCTGCTTATAAACTTTCCTTCAGAAATTGAATAATTAAGTATTTTAAGATTATATCTCAGGGGTTGCATCAGGTTATGAGTTTTCCATTTCTTATTTACGGTTAACTGTTATCACCGATAATCTTTTAGCTAGTTATTGTTGTTATACTGTTTGAAAAAATGTTGGTATTACTTCATTATTAATTGCAGATCAAGACCGATGACTGAACCATTGTCCAATAAAGGCACTTACCTAACAGTATCCGTAGCAGATTTACACAATCCTTATCTTAGCTATCCAACAGTTAGAACCAGTAGCTCTGGGAGGGCTTGCCGTGGCGAATGTATTCTTATAAACCAAAGAGATTTTCATCCCTCGACCAATCAAACACGACGTGATGGTACAGATATCGACGCTGATCGTGTTGAAAGAGTATTCAAAAGTTTGAACTACCGAGTAACACGTATACTCAATGTTACAAAAAGTGTACTTCATCAGACGCTTGTAGAAGGTGAGTAATATATATATATATATATATATATATCCAAGGTTTGTCATCCATAGAGCTTATGTTTTGACATAGTTACAGATACAATTACAGATACTAAAATTCTCCTTGTACCAGATTTCGCTGTACAAAACTGACTTTAGTTTAGTTTTCTACATTCTAAACCATATTAACGATAGGAAATATCCTGATGAAAGTAACGAAAGCAAACGTGTAAGCAAACTGTCTAGGATTTCCTTCTAAAATTTTCATAAGGTCAATACTATAAATATTTCTAAGTAAGCGATTATCAAATTTATAGATAACACGTTATCCCATGTTGTTTTAAGGCTTCCATGTTAACTGGTTGCTACATACGACCATAACATCTGGTATATGATATGACCATTTATGGTTATGTTAACCTCATAGCCTTCCTCGACGGGAAATGTTAGCTGACATAGGATCAGGTTAGAATAGAGCCAACGGTGGCAAACGAAAACATGGTCTCATCAGGCAATCAAATCCACAGCAGTCAGTTTAAGCCAATCACCTAGGGAGATGTAGACTTCGTGGCTGATTGGGGTCCTCGGGATGGTATAAACCAATGGGTGGAGACAATTGATGATATGGCTCAAAATTGTTCTCAGTAGCTGGCGCAGATGCATCCACTCCTTGTAATATATTATGTCTAATAGAACTTCACTGTTCTTCCATATCAATATTCTTTTTGCCTCACACTTCTGTTTACTCTCTCTCTTTTGAATATCTCTTTACCGTGTTCTCTTGGTTTGTGTGCTACATGGAGCGTGGGAACTCGGACTAATGTACATCTGTACAAAGTTCTACATTGAAAGCAGTCAGTCAGTCGTGTTAACCACCTAGTTATAAATCAGTAGGAGAAAATTTATCAGTGTCAAGTTTTGATTTCCATGATTAGGAGTTTCAAGCCTTTAATAAGTCAAGTTTCTTCCATCAAATAACATTGTATAAAGGAATCAGTAATTGTACTCAACTTGTCAAGGTATTATTCAAAGTGTATTGTCATTAGCAGCGAAGACTAGTGAGTTAAAAGTAGGATGATAATTGTGTGATTTAACAGTAAACACTTATCAAATTAAGTAACTTCATCAGCATTTACTGCATACGAAAGTATGCCACATCAGTGTAGCATTCTGCCAATCTTCTATGTGAAGTAAGGTTTAAAAAATATCAAAGAATTAGTCAAGTATATCTTCATTCCCCTTTTTGCACATTATTATTTCCTTTTATAGCTTCTCAAATGGATCATTCAGCCTATGATAGTTTCGTTTTTGTCATGTTGAGTCATGGTGACAACAATGTTGTTTATGCCACAGATGGTGAAGTTTTAACTAATTACATCATGGCGTTTTTCCGTGGAGATCGTTGTTCTTCTCTGATTGGAAAACCTAAACTGTTCTTCTTTCAAGTTAGTTGATCTTTTTTCATGGTTCATATACAGTTCTAGTTACGAAAATTATGAAATTTGATAAGGTTAAAATTGCTACTGAGTGAGAATAAAGGTAGTTGAGTGTCAATTTAACAAGTGTGAAGAGGGTGTGAAAACGTACAAAGGGAACATATGAGACATAGAATTCCGAATACCGATATTGAATTGATAACTAAAGAGTTCAACAGCTGCCATCATGCCATCCAATTCACATCGGAATCAGAGATAAACTCAGAATTCCTTTTTTGGATGTTTCTTCTAAAAAGGAGCTCTGATGGTTTTCTTCAAAGATCGATTTACAGAAAGCTAACATGGAATGGTCAGTACACGAATTTTCATAGCCTTCTTTGTGGCCGAGCTACGGATCAATTTCTACAGCCGACAAATGATCAATAGATGTGTGAAGGATAAACCGCCGCTTTGGGCCACTTCAATGTGTGTTTGTAAATTCACCTGATCCTGTAGAGCTAGTTATTTTGGCCGCACAAAACGCACACTTTCCAAACGCATCTCTGAACATTATCCGGTGTGGTTAGCAAAAGGACAATGCAAGACAATTACTAGCTCAATTCTCGAGCACTTGGTGAACTCAAGCCACGTAGCTCCACCAGAGTCGTCTTTCAAGATCATCTACAAGGTGAGGCCAAATGGTACAAAGGGCGTCAGGTTTAGGCTTTTGTGTATGGCAGAGGCGCTGGCGATTCGTCAATGCAACCCCGAACTCTGTATACAGAAAAAGTTTGTCCAGCCTCTTATTCTACCTTGGTCTTAACCTCTTCACTGTAAAAATTTCAATTTTTTTAAAATTTTCAATTTTTTTAAAATTTTCAATTTTACTTTAAGTTTGCTTTTACTTTAATAATTAATTCACTATTATTGATATAATTCACTATTATCACTCTCATATGTTCCTTTTGTACGTTTTCACACCCTCTTCACACTTGATAAATTTATGAAAAAAAGATAACAGACTCAGAGAAGAGACTCGATGGTGACTATGCTCTATTAATAAGTGGAATCACACAAAAAGGTCTCTTCTTTTGAACAGTTTTCTCTGTTTTGTTTTCCTACTTGTTTTTTAGTCCAAGGTTTTGTAGGTCTTAACGTAGTCATTGCTTTCTTTGTGGGCTAAGTGTGTAATATCTAAGTCTGTAGACACTGTAATGCTTAATCTCATTGGTAAAATCCTTGTGTCAAGTGTAATCTTACTGTATTCACTTATTGCACTTTGTTACCCTGTAAACTAATATGTGAGACCTTTTAATCATTTTTATTATTATGAATACTACCACCCTTATTAACTTTTAATCATGCAAGTAGCGAATCTTACAGAATTTACAGCTTGACACGAAAAATAGTGAAACTTTTGACGATTTTCAGTGATTATGGCTTTTACCGTTAGTTGTAATTTTTGTTGTTGAAATACTTTTATTACTATGATTATTATTGTTTCCTTTAGTTCCTAGAGGAACATATGGCTTCAGCCGTTTATTACTATAAAGCACATATTTTGCAAACTGATTAGTTTATGAGCCCAAACTCCCTGTGTCTTTGAAAATTCTGTACGGATCTGTCTAGGATAGCGGCGTTGTCGTTGTTTATTCAATACCATTGGTGCATAGTGTGTGTGGTGCATAAACTTGCATTTAGTGGGCTGAGTTGCGTGTATTGTTTATCACAGTTCAGTTGGTTGCTAGAAATGCTAATAATCGAAGTGAATCCTAATTGAGATTTGAAACTCAAAGTGAATACAAAGGTATTTAAGTGATCCAATACATAGAAAGACAAAATATAAAATGTTGCAGAGAATTGTTTTTCACACCTTTTGTTCTCATTCTTTTCAATTTCGTAAGTTTCAAGATGGGTTTTGTAGACTAACTTTATTTGAAAAGTATTATTAGCAATATTAGCAAAAGTATTATTAGCAATATTTAGCATACATCCTTGAAGTGTAAACTACTTTTGATGATTTGGCAGGCTCCTTTGCCTGCTGCTGTCGGTAATAAACAAGAAGCTTAGGTGATCCAGCTGTCACACGGACACTTGTAGGAGTGTAGCGTGAGATTTGTGACTTTAAATAGTATATACCAATATATATCATTTCTGGCGTCATTACAGTGTTCATGTTTCCATAAGAAGTTGGTGTGATTAGGCTTCAGAGCTCTTCAGCTGAATACTTGATCTCTTCAAGTTGAGTACGTCGTATAACTCTACATATTTCACCATTACAATTTTGTTAAGATTTCTCACTTTCAGTTGCGATTACACGTTAAGTAATTCTCGTATTCAGCAGTATGAAGTTTTGCTAAGGTATAACGATGTTTATATCATCTTAGAACAACTGTTTCAGTGACCTGGACATGTGTTGGGTATATCGTCCAGCAGCTGCCACACTGTTTACTAACAGTGTGAGTGGTTGGGAAAAAACACGGAGAGGTAATCTGTCCATAACGCATAACCATGAGATAGAGGTTAATTGTATTAGAGTACATCACGGTTATCTGGATAGGGTGAGGAAAACTACACAACTCAGTCACTCAAGACGTTCAAATGTATGAGAATAATGTTGATCCTGTTTTATTTATTATTAAAAATAAGACAAAGGGATAAACAATGCCTTGAATGTAACCAATAGGAATTTTTTTGTTTTGTTTATTGTATTATTCTTTTATCTTCTTCCTATTTGTGCAGCACGTTTTGGTATCAATTCTGTATCAACTTTCCGTATTTACGTAAATAAATAATAAACTCCTTAAATAGTCACTCTTCAGTGGTAGTATTAGTAACAATAATAGTCGAATTTTAGTTCGTTTATGTCACAGTTCTACTCTTTTGAAATTTACTTGTTAGTTTTTTTGATTTTCTTCGGATGATTGTTTTGAATATGATAATTTTCCTTAATCAAACTATTCGTATACACTTTGTGTTGGAATTTGAAGTAGCAATAAAGCAAGTGCTTTATTATTGCTTTCTAGAGGCAACCTTCATACGTCTTTTCGACTGCTAATTTAAGAGTATATTAAAAATTATTTGGTTTGTACTGTTCGTTGTTAATCGATTAAAAGTCACTGTGAAGCTATGGGATTGAGGACACTCACATATCAGATTATGTTTCAAATTATGCTGTTTTTACCCGATTGTTTTGTTTACCAATCAAAAATATCATACTTCGAAATCTCTTAGTTGTCTTGTGTGTGTTTCTGTAAGTGGTGCTGATACTATAAACGAAGCTTGTCAACAGCTGTTCTATAGAAAACTAGTAGTGTATTCATCTTAAAGACGAACTGACCTGTCGTTTGTGGGATGGGCCGGAAAGCTGTTAATTGGTGAATGAAAGTTGAATGTCATAATTGACCAATACTCAACAGTCAACAGAATATACGGAAAATTTCAGTCGACTAGCTGTTACTTTCATAGGATTTTATAAAATTCTAAAACCCCATATCCTTTTGTATTCTATTTCGTTGTACTCCTTTCACTACACAAGTGATTGTGTTTTTTTGGCGGTCTTTCCTGTTAGCGTTTTTCCCCAAATTTCTATCCAAATGCCTACAAGTGGTATGGCTAAATTTGCTGTGATTCTACAATTGCGTCAGGTTATCTCCTTTAGACTTAGGACACAGTAGACTGGGAATCGAGATGACCTAGTAACTTCTTTTTTCGAAGTAATTTCATGTCATATTATGTCATGAGGATCGACAAAAATTGGAGTAACTAGGCAAATGTCACATATCTGCTTAATCTTCTACCATTATTGATGATATATCGGTTTCTACTTAACCTAGGATATTATTTATTGTTATGTTGTTTCTTTGTTAGATGATTTTCTATCCCTTGTTGGATATAACTTAGGACTGTTGTATTGTATGGGTAGTTTCTTACCAATATGCTAAATATGGCGTATGCTTATTACTTGATAAATATTCACATATAGTTAAACATGCAGATAATTGGATTAAAAATGGGTATACCTAAACATGGGGTTTCTAGAATAGTATTCTATAAAAAGTATGTTTAAGTGTGCAAATATGCAGCTATGGGAAAAAAGCTTTCCAATTTAAAATCTTTATAGTTTATGGTTGTGGAAAAGTGCCAACGGGGTGAGGTTTTCTGGTTACAATAGTCCTGCTTTTATCTTTGTAAACATTTAGCAGGTGATGGGGTCAGTATTGTCATGATTGCTCATAAGTTTGAACGAAGTAAAGAAGTACTGAACAGATTCGGTTCCATTGCCAGTTATCATGTATTGCTCTCTAGCCTACCTTGATATTTTCCCAATTTTGTGATTTATTTCAAAACATTTGCTATTCGTGTTAACAAGTGTATAAATGCTAGTTTTGAGCTAAGCTGATTTAGTTCGATATCAGACATCTAGGGCATGGAGTTTTTAATAAATGAAGATGTAAGGAAAGGTAAGAGTGAAAAGAAATCAACATTAACCCCTAATAAAATCAACTGAGGTTAAAAGACGAATTATCAAGGCAGAGGGGGAACTTACTACAGCTTCCTTTTGTGAATACGGAAATCACGTTTAAGCCGTTTGACAGCGATGGCCTCTTCAAACTTCAAGAGACTGGAGCTCGCTTGTTTGAATATTGTATGAAAAGAATCCAAGACGTCTGCTTAATGACCTGAGTCAATCAGATGTCTGATGATTGAGCTGCTCAAAAGTTCACTTCCTCTTAATCTCAAACTTCTTCCAAGGTGACTATATTGCACCAGCGACCAACAGACGATTTAAGAAATCACCAGATAGAACATTTTCTGAGACTAGATGGATTTCTCTTTACCAAACAGTATGCTCGTTAGTTCAATCAAAAGTCGACAGATACTCTTTCTATGTTAGCTCCAAATGTGTATATCAGTTTACGTGTAGCTGTCAAAGCAGATATATTGGAAGAATAAGGAGAAGGGTCTATCTTAGATTTCCTGAATATATACCGAAGAGTTTGAGATTAAGAGGAAGTGAACTTTTGAGC